GTGCAGTTGTCCTGTGACTGTCACAAACCTGATGAAATAAAATGTGCACAGCAAGCCCTCAGGAGGGAAGGACTGGCTGACGTGTCATTTGCAAGGTAGTCTGACTTACAGGTCAGGCTTAGGCTCTCACACTGGTGACTGGAAACCCAAGCTGGCGGGATTTGGCCTTCGCTGCTGGGTTATAACGGTGTCCACAAACTGAGACTGAGGTCTATTGAAAGTTGTCTCTACTGACTCTCTTGGTCTAGAAATGTATGATCTTGGAAAAGAGGGTACTTTGGTTTGGAAAATCTGTTAAAGTGACATAGCAATATTAACTGACATGTGATTTGCTGAGTGTGCTGCAACCGTATGGTACATCAGGGGCTCCGTAACTTCCCTTGATAACCTGAATGAAAATAAAACTTATGAAAAAAGTAATCACAAGGAACACATTATATGAGGTTGACCTAAAAGCCCCATAACATAAAAACAATTGGGGGTCGCATTGTTAGAGAAAGTAGTACCTTTAGCTTTAGATAAGTTACACATATAGTAGCTTTGTGTCCAGAAAAAAAACTGTAGGAAGGTAAAAAAGAATTGAGAGATACAGGGTGCAGGGAAAGAAATGTTATAAAACATATGAGGGGCTGTAGTTATGGGTAATATGTTTTTGTTTACAAAATCCCAACTTGGCATTGGATAATTTGGGCTCTATTAAATGGTCAGCATTTTAACTTGTACAGAAAACATTATAAAAATTGATGTAATAAACATTTCAAAAATATCTAAGGAATAAGTAGCAAATACAAAAGTCAAAGTTAAAAAAGTGGAAGAAATTCCTTAACAGTTAGTTTGTGTAGTTATTTCTAGTCCACAGAACACCTGACGATCCTCTACTTGATAGAACTCACTTCCAGAATTAACTCACAAATTAACAGAATTTGTGGGGACTATATGTAAAAATAGATAAATAAAAATATGCTTCCAAAAATGATGCATGGAAGTCTGGTTGACATGATTGTATGCTGCATGGAGCATATGAGGAGGCTATGTTACTAACAAAGCTGAAAAACTTGAGAGGTCCTATAGCCAGTGGCTTCCGTGAGCTGAGATTTTCCTGCATACAGTTTAGTTTCTGGTGCCCAAGTTTGTTTCAAACAGAAAAGTCCTGGCGCAATGGAGGCTGAAATCAGGGGTCATTAGATCTCTGCTGTGGGGTTATCCATGCTGTTCTGTCTGTCCTGTAGAGCCTCTTAAAATTAAATAATTCTTTTTTTATGGGGGTATAGTCAGTTTGCAATGTTCTGTCAATTTCTGGTGTGCAGCACAATTCTTCAGTCGTACATGAATATATGTATATTCATTTTCCCATTTTTTTCATCATAAACTACCATAAGACTAAAGTTAAATAAATTTGTTACTGACATCTCTCCCCTGAAAATATCAAAAGTGTAACGGAAATATTATGAACAAACTTTTGTCCATGAATTTGAGACCATACAGGCAAATTCCTTGAAAGACTGAAAGTATAAAACACACTAAATTGTAATAGAGAGATTTTAGAGCTATATATATTTTTAAAAATTGAATTAATAGAAAAACCTCCTAAGAAAACCAGAGGCTAAATGATGA